CTGAATGGAGTGTGATTGTGGAGTTGGAGACGTAGGTCAATGAAGTAGTGAAAAGTTGTAGTATACTGTAGCCAGGACCAAACAGTCAAAATAGACAGATCAAGAAGAGTTAAAGGTGACAGAAAGTGATGGTATCCAAGCCAGAAATGAAATGTCCTAGACAGAGAAGATGGATGGAGAACATGGCCAAGGATAGAGCCTTGAGGTATTCAGTAATGGAGGAGGTGTTAGAAAGATGAAAATCCTCCTTCAGAAATAAAAAGGAGAGTTTATGAAAGCAGAATTCAAAAGAGATTGTGGGAGATGCTTCTTGCTCAAGGCATATGAAGACTACAGAGTGATCAATAGTTTTGAAAGCCTCATTAACAGTAAGTAGGAGGATGACAGATCTGTGATCAGAGGCAAAAGTAGGCCAATAAGAATCTAGAAAAAAGATTTCACTTAGATCTATTGTATACATTATTGTCCTTTAGAAATGATGGCAATAGTGGGTTCATGTTGCCATCAGCTAATAAACTGCGGGAGTCCTGCCCAGTGGTTTGTGGGATGTGAGATCTTCTGTAAAACATGGACCATCAGTGATGAAGGCAATACAGTTAAACTAATACATCTTACTGTTTGTTAATCAGTGAAAGCCTGAGGGCAGGTCATTTAAAATATTCTGTTTTTCAGCTGTGGATCTCAAGTTTTTAAAGGCATTGCTTGATGAAACCTCACAATATCCCTGTGAGGTAGGCAAATGCTATTGTAACAGTCTTAGATGAAGCAGTGAGAGGCACTGGAGTCTAATGGTTAGAGAAGAGGAATGAGGGTCAGGAGTCCTGGATTCTCTTCTCCCCAATACTAGTGAGTCATTGTGTGATCTTGAGCAATTTCCTTAAAATTACATCATCTTGTTTTCCATTTTACAGATAAGCAAACTATCACCCTTTGTAAAGCACATTGACATCTTCAAATGAAAAGCACCAATCATGTGCAAAGCATTTTTAGTATTTTATATATGGGTGAGGTACAGAGAGGTTGTGATTTACTCAAGGTCATATAATGAGATAGCAACTGAACTCTATGCAAACCAGGATCCATGAGTCCCAATCATGCTCTTACCAGTAGATAGCACTCCCTGCCAATATCAGAAAAAAATAGAATAGAAAATTAACAAATCTCTTCTCATATCACAGCAACAGCTGGGAAGCAGAGGGGAGAGGGGGATCCTGACAAATGTCCCCAAAGTTGCTTTCAGATTCCTTATTATTCTTGGTCATTACTTTGCCTTAAACCACTTTAAGGATGCCTCATGAATGACAGAGGTATTAAGTAAAACTGAACTGGATTCTGTGTTATAACTTCAGAGTTATTCTCTGATGCATACAGACGGATGGCGATGCATTTGTTCTTAATATACTAAATCCTAACAGGATTGTCAGTGTTGCGAAGTTGGTTGAACTCTTTGGACTCTACCATATTGTAATTTATACAGTAGAGGCTTTCTATTTAAAAAAATCAACTGCTTTGTTTCACGTTACACAAACTTTGTAGTAAGAAGGACGTGACTAATACAATGTGAAATCAAATTGCTTAGAGTTCTCCCCCATTTTTGTATCGCTCTGATTATATTATTTCAGACTGTAAATGTGGAATATAATGAAATTACAAATGTTTTAGCACTTGTGAAAGCAACTAGATTAACAGCCCTCTATACTGAATTCTTCTACTTAGCCAGTCAACATGCAGCAGGTCAAAATCCCCCAACTACACACTGCATTATCCATGTGTTCAGGGTATCCTGAGAGATCAGAGGGCCCTTTTTCCACAATCCACTGAATCACTGTACTCTTAACTGCCAACAAGGGAGCAGTTAGCGGTTAATGCCAACTACTGTATGAGGTTATCTTTTGTTACATGGACATTTTCCCATTATTAGCAGCTATTCTGACCTTAAAGTCTGAGTCTGAGCTATACTGAGGACGCCTTCTCATTTCACTTAGATCACCAAGCAACAGTGAAATGGTAAGAATTTCCTGTTGCTTCTGACATAGGTCAAATTTTCCACAGTTGATTGCTTCTATAACTCATTACCTATCTCTGAGCCATGATGTGTCCCACAATGCACACAGTTAGGAAAAGGTTTTGCTTTTCCTCTGGCTACTTTTACAAGTAGAATTGTAGATCCAGGCATGTTGTTCTCACCTCAGATGACGCCAAAGCTCACCGGTTGGTGATCCCTCCAGGAGTTTGTCTCAGCTGGGCTATTCTCTTTCCTCTGTCCGCACTTCTTTCTTCCCTATTCCGTCCCCTACTGTGACTAATTAAATTACCTATGTGACATGTTCCGCTTTCTCTGGCAACTGGCCTGGGAAATCAAATCTGTTACCAAACCTAGGTCTCCTATTTGGCAGCTTCTCTGCTGCTGAATCAGGTCAGCTCCCAGAGGGGGAAAAAAACCCAACAATTTTATATAATTATAATTAACACAGAGTAAATTTAGATAATGCAGATGACACATTTATTGTAAGGACCATCAAGGGAATGGTTTTAAAAGCACTTCACCTTTTCACTGTTTGATTAGTTTACTTGCTGATCATTCCACATACATCCGATGTCAAAGTGAAATCACTGTGTGTTCTGTGCTTTTTAAAAAAGACCTTCTGTGGAATAGTTAACTGGTTGTATCAAAAATATGTACGGTGTGTAATTACCAGTGACCTGTACAGGTCCTCTGCTTCTGAGAATTGAGGGATGGCTGGATCTGGCATATTTGGAGTGTTTTCAATGGATCCCTAATTTCTTTTCCTTCACTTTTTCCAACTCTTCGCACTTTCTGATTCCATGCAAGACCAAAGTGGTCACACAGAAACAAGAGTCCTGTTCTTGTTGTATGATCAGAGCAGAAAATATTGGAAACATACTGAGTATGTGTGGGCTTCAAAATACAGAACTTTTTTTGGGAGAGGGACGGGCATAGGAGGATATGAGGGAGAGGAGGAGAGTGTCTTTATAATGGACTCTGTTCTGGATTTAAACTCTGGAACTTCTTGTTCAAAATCCAGATCTGATTTTTGTGGCTACTTTCCTCCTGCTTGAATAATGAACATTACAGATTAGAAGTTGTAGTGTATGCAGTTGTTTGAATGTTGTACTACACCTCTACCCCGATATAACGCTGTCCTCGGGAGCCAAAAAATCTTACCGCGTTATAGGTGAAACCGCGTTATATCGAACTTGCTTTGATCTGCCGGAGTGTGCAGCCCCGCCCCCCCCCGGAGTACTTCTTTACCGCGTTATATCCGAATTCGTGTTCTATCGGGGTACAGGTCCATTTCTAGGGGCCTCCTTTCTGCAGAATGGGGATTGAATGAGGGCCCTCCAGAGCTAAAAGCATGAGTCTACAGCTCAGACTCAAGAGCTGATTGCTGCAATTACCACACTTCTTCTGTGGATCAGGTGCAGTGTGGACACACCATGCATTGACCAATAGGTTGAATATTTCCTGTGGACAAAGGAAGCTCATCAGCACTTTAGATCCTCGATGACTCCCCATTTACGTGACAGGTACTATCTTATAGAGGAAGGTGATGGCACTAACCGAGGATATGAGATGTGGCTCAGTTCCTTGCTCCGCCACAGGCTTCTTGTGGGACAAATCCCTTACTCCATGCCTCAATTCCCCAGCTGTCAAATGGGAAGAATGGTACTTCCTTACCTCAAAGGACTGTTGTGAGGATAAATGCATTAAAGAGTGTGTGATGCTCAGATACTACAGTAATGGGGGCTATATAATTACCTGGGACTGGTGCTGCGGATTGTACTAGGGACCTTTAGAGCTGAAAGCATGGCTCTTTATGTGCTTTAGCTGGGGGGGTAGGTGGGAGGTATAACAGATTCTTCTGTAAACTGGGCATGGGGTGGGGGTGGGATTGCATAACACACAGACTGGTAGGTTACAGTGACACTGCTCTCTCATGGAAACGTTACTGTGATCCTTTCTTGTTCTTTCCCATAATCTAAAATAAAAGTAACTTAGACTGAAAGTACATGGTTGTTCTTTGTGTATGGAAAAATATAACAGATGTGTCAGTTGCACTTTTAAACAAAATAATAGTTTGCTAAATTGGAGATCCAAGGGCTAGGTTTTACAGCGAACACTGTATGTATTTAGAATTTGTGTGACACTCCGTTTTCAGTAGCAGATGGTTTCAAATTTGCTTTTAAATTGCAGCTGCTCTTCCAGATTTTTTAAAGACAACTTTACAGTGTTAATAAATGCTTAGTCATTCATGCTTTTCCCTTCATTCTAAAACATACTTTGAGAGTCTTCTTGGTTAAAAAGATGCACTTTTTTTTGTAAGTTTAAAAATCCTTCAGAACTTTGTATAAACCAAATGCTTGAGACTGAAATCTCTCTTTAGGGCCCCAACATTTTGATCTCTGCAATACACATCAGATGAAGGATGGTTTTGTGGCTAAGGCACTAGACTGGAACTCAGCAGATCTGAGTTCACTTCCAGTCTCAGTCACAGACTTCCTGTATGACCTGAGGCAAGTTGTTTAATCTTTGCCTCCATTTCCCATCTGAAAAAGGGAGACATTGTCTCCCCCCCCTTCTCCTTGGTCTGTTTTCCCAACTTAGATTGTAATAGGGTGACCAGATAGCAAGTATGAAAAATCGGGACACTTTTGTACCATTAGGGTGGTGGTATAGTTGCGTATATAAGACAAAACCCCTAATATCTGGACTGTCCTGGTAATATCCGGATGTCTGGTCACCCTAGATTGTAAGCTCTTTGGTGCAGGAACTGCCTCTGACTGTGTATGTACGGTGCCTAGCTCAATGGGGTCTTGCTCTCAGTTGGAGCAATGTGGCATAACTGTAGTATAACTAACCACAGCATGTCCGGCTCTTCAGGGCAGAAATTGTATCTACCTCGTTGTCTGTAGTGCTTAGCTAGACCAAAGGAGTTTTGAACTTGCTCTAACCCTGTTTTCTCCTTTGTTTTCCTCAGCCTGTGACCTGATGACCCTGGGAATCTTAGCCTTAGTGACCTCCACTGGTTGTGCCTCAGCCAATGCCCTGCAGTCCCTGACGGATGCCATGCACATCCCACACCTCTTTGTACAGCGCAACTCAGGAGGCTCCCCACGCACTGCTTGCCACCTAAATCCTAGTCTTGAGGAGGAAGAATACACATTAGCAGCCAGACCGCCTGTCCGCCTCAATGACGTTATGCTGAAACTCGTCACCGAACTTCGATGGCAAAAATTCATAGTATTTTATGACAGTGATTATGGTGAGTGCAATGCATCATTTCAGACACACCATGGTGTCTCTCTTGTGTTTAGCTGGAAAAGGCGGTGCAGACATACAGTTTTGGGAAACAGTTGTTTGGGCTTGTTGCAGGTTATGAGGAAAATGTTTTGAATGGACATAGATCTGTAGTTTTGAGTGAAAGAGTGCTGTGAAAACTAATTCTCAGACAGGCAGCAAAGTTGCTTAGTAACACCCTATCAAGACAGCTGAAGTTTGAATCATCTTACAGGTTTTCAGTAAAATATTAATAAGCTGTTGACATTGATTGGCAGTGTTCATATGGGTATACAATGGAGTACAAGAAGAACTCTACATCAATCCTTTGTAATACGCTTCCTGTCAAAGCTGAGCACAGTTCTCTTTAAAAATTAATTTTCAAAATTTCTATTACTAACTTCTCTCTATGGTTCCCCCCACAATTCTGTTTGGAGCATGTATCACAGTGGTACATTTCATGACATTTATACTAAAGGTTAGAGTTAGCATTTCCCCTGTGTCTGATATGAGTTATATATCTGTCAGCAAAATTTTACTCTGGGCTGAAACTTGGGAAACAGAAATCTTAGCTTGAGTGAATTAGGTATTCCAAAGTCAAAATAAATTAATCTACGTGTTGCTGAACTCTCACATTGCAAAGATAAAAATCTAAGTTTATTATTTTTGCATTCCAGTAATGAAACTATGGCTCCATTTTTTTAAACTGATACTGTATTCACTGCCATCAGCTTGTGATCTGGTCTCTTGAATAGAGATCAGCAGACTTGTTCTGCCTGATTTCAACCGCCTGCAAACATTTTTGTTTGAAGTTTGACTTGCACATTTTTGGTTTTGTGCCTTAATATGGAGAGAGGGTGGCGGGAGTGGGGAGGAGGGATGGGAAATAATGAGAGGGAAAGAGAGAAATTTTGTAGTGGTAAACTGTATTAGAGGTATGTGGTATAGACTGTATAGTGTGTCCACTTACACCAGCAGAGCTTTCTTGTTCTAGTCCCACTACACAGCACAAGCTTCCTTTTAGCTAGTTGGGGAAAACACAACTTTTTATTTAATTTAAATGGAATCACTCTTGGTAAAAATAAAAATGGTCTTAAATTTAGATTTATGTTTTAAAAGGGTTTCTGAGCTCAGGCTAGTTTTGCAAATCTGGGGAACTGCCCCCAAAAACCATTTGTGAGGAAGGTTCACCCATTTCTAAAGGAACAGAATGTGGCTGTTGCTGCTGATTTTGTTCAGAAATTCAATCTAGAGCTCCAAAGCAATATCAGTTCTGTAGAAATGTCTTAGGGGTGGATTCAATATACAGATTTACGTTATACTTCTGAATTTAGATGATCTGTAGGGTAGGGTTACCATAATCCAGCAAGCAAAAAAGAGGACGGGAGGAGCCCCGCCCCTGTCCTGCCCTAGCCC